CCTGCCTTGGCCTCCCAAAGTGCTGGGATTACAGACGTGAGCCACAGTGCCCAGCCCGTATATTAATTCTTTGAATTTCTATAACCACCTGTGAGGTAGGTACTATTCCTTTCTTTATTTCACACAGATCACATAGCTAGAAAGTGGACAAACAGGAATGAAACTCCAGCACCTGGCTCCAGAGGCCATACTCTTTTTTGTTTGTTTGAGATGAAGCATCACTCTGTAAGCCAGGCTGGAGTGCAATGGCATGATCTTGGCTCACTGCAGCTTCTGCCTCCTGGGTTCAAGCTATTCTCCTGCCACAGCCTCTCAAGTAGCTGCGATTACAGGCACGCGCCACTGCACCCAGCTAATTTTTGTATTTTTAGTAGAGACACAGTTTTGCCATGTTGGCCAGGCTGGTCTCAAACTCTTGACCTCAGGTGGTCTACCCGTCTCAGCCTCACAAAGTGCTGGGATTACAGGCATGAGCCAACATGCCCGGCTTATACTCTCTTGCTCTGTCGCCAGGTTGGAGTGCAGTGGCACGATCTCGGCTCACTGCAACCTCCTTCTCCTGGGTTCAAGCAATTCTCCTGCCTCAGCCTCTCGAGTAGCTGGGACTACTGGCGCCTACCACCACGCCTGGCTAATGTTTTGTATTTTAAGTAGAGATGAGGTTTCACCATGTTAGCCGGGATGGTCTCGATTTCTCGACCTCGTGATCCGCCTGCCTCGGCCTCCCAGCCTATACTCCTAACCACTATAGCATACCACCGCCTTTACTTCATTTCCTTAATTCCTGTTATGCTTCAAAACCCTACAGTCTGATTTCTGTCTCTTCCCTTGAGATCCATTCCTCTGAAAAGGCTCTTGTAAAGTCACCAATCTTGTTAAAGCAATCAACATTTTCCAGATACTTCTTTTTTTGGCCCTCTTTATGTTTTTAGATACTACTGACCATTTTCTCTTTGAAACACTCATCTCATTTCGCTTCTATGACACATCTCTTCCAGTGCTCCTCACACCACTCGAACTGTTCCTTCAGTGGCTTACTTAGGCTCCTCTTCTACTATCTGCCAGTTAAATACTGATATTCCCTAAGTATTGCCCCACCCCTCTGTTCTCTCTACATTTTCCCTTTCCAATCTTATCCACGGTTTTTTACAACTAACTAAATACTATTAAATATAAAAATACAAAATGTAAATGTAATTATATATCTATCCCTAATCTCACCATCCAGCTAGACAAATACACTTCAACAATACACAGACACTGTCTGTTCAAGAGTTTTGCCTTTTTTTCTTTTCTTTTTTTTTTGAGATGGAGTTTCACTCTTGTTGCCTAGGCTGGAATGCAATGGCGCAATCTCGGCTCACCGCAACCTCCGCCTCCCGGGTTCAAGTGATTCTTTTGCCTCAGCCTCCCTAGTAGCTGGGATTACAGGAATGCATCACCACGCCTGGTTAATTACTGTATTTTTAGTAGAGACGGCGTTTCTCTATGTTGGTCAGGCTGGTCTTGAACTCCCAACCTCAGGTGATCCGCCCACCTCGGCCTCCCAAAGTGCTGGAATTACAGGTGTAAGCCACCGTGCCCAGCCGAGTTTTGCCCATTTTTAATTGGCCTTTTAATTATATTGAGTTGTAAGAGGTTTCATATATATAGGGGGTTAATAGCCTTTGTCAGATATCTTTGTTTCATTGTTTCTCTTGTGGTAAGAATATTTAACATGATCACTACCCTATTTATTTATGTATTTATTCATTCATTTCATTTCATTTTTTGAGACAGAGTCTTGTTCTGTTGCCCAGGTTGGAGTGCAGTGGTGCAGTCGGCTCACTTGAAACCTCCACCTCTTGGGCTCAAGCAATCCTCCCACCTCAGCCTCCCAAGTAGTGGGACTACAGGCGCACACCATCATGCCTGACTAATTGTGCTTCTTTGTAGAAACAGGGTTTTTCACCATGTTGCCTGAGACGGTCTCAAATTTGTAGGCTCAAGTGATCCACCTGCCTTAGCCTCCCAAAGTGGTGGGATTACAGGTGTCAGCCACTGCACCCGGCAGCTCTACCCTCTTACCTTTTTAATTGCACATACATTAATGTTAACTTTAGGCACAACATTGTACAGCAGATCTCTAGAGCTTATTCTTCCTGCTTGACTCAAGTTTAATGCCTGTTAATTATTAACTTCCATTTCTACTCACCCCTCACCCCAACACGGCAACCAGCATTCCACTCTTTGATTCTATGAATTTGACTATTTTAGATATCTCATATAAAAGGAAACATGAAGTATCTGTCTCTCTCTGACTGTCTCATTTCAGTTAGCATAATATCCTGATTAATCTGTATAGTCACATATTACAGAATCTCCTTTTTAAAGGTTGAATAAACACTGTATGTATATACATTTCTTTTCTTTCTTTTCATGTGAAATTGGTAATCTGCCCATGTTGTAACCAGCTTCAAGGGTGGCACATCTTACACATGTGCATGGACACCCCGTCATGACACTTACAAACTACAGAAGGATCTAGACTACACTTTTTTTTTTTTTTTTTTTTTTTTTGAGACAGGGTCTTTCTCTGTCACCCAGGCTGGAGTGAGGTGGCATGAACACGGCTCACTGCAGCCTCAACTTCCTGGGCTCAAGTGATCCTCCCACCTCAGCCTCCTGAGTAGCTGGGACACAAGCATGCATCACCACACCTGGCTAACTTTTAAAAATTTTTTTGTAGAGACAGGGTCTCATCACCAGGCTGGTCTCGAATTCCTGGGCTCAAGTGATCCTCCCACCTTGGCCTTCCAAAGTGCTGAGATTACAGGTGTGAGCCCACATTTCTTTTTTTTTTAATGTTTTTAATTTGCGTGGGTACATAGTAGGTGTATGTGTTTATGGGGTACATAAGATTACCCATTCACTTGTCAATGGACTTTCAGGTTGTTTCCAGATATATGTCTGAAGATACTTTTTCCCAATCTATGGCTTGCATTTTCCATAACCGTGTTTCTTAAAGAAGAAAAGTTTTAATTGTGTTGAAGTTCCTTTCAAGGCAGTTTTCTTTTATGGCCCATCCTTTTTGGTACTGTTCACGAAAACTTTGTGTAACCCAATAGAGCAAAGATTTTTTTTCCTGTGTGTTCCTATAGAAGTTTCATCATTTTAGCTCATCCTAATTTTCTGTATGATGTGTGGTAAGGGCCAAGATTCATTTCATTCTGTACAGACCAGTTGTTCTAGTACTGTGTACTGAAAGACTACCCTTTCCCTTGAATTACCTCAGCATTTTTTGTTAAACAGGAACTGATCACATATATGTGTATATATTCTCTCTCTCGCTCTCACATACACACACATGTGCATGTATTTCTACACT